AARKTWRRTYGTTGAGGAGATATGAATTTGTATAGTGTGCATTTATAAAGAACAACTGTTCGAGGAGTTGAAGTTTTTGTTATGTTTTGTTGTTTGAAGWCTGTTATTGTTTCAATTTATGAATTTATTCTTCTTTCTGCTACCTTTCATTTTATTTGTGTTGTATTATTTGTTGTATGTATTTGTTTTGTTTTTAAATGAAATGAATAAATTTGTTAAAAATGTTTTAAAAAATTCAGTTATCAGCTGCGACTGTGCATATTTATCCACCTACCACATTAACAGGAAAAGATGCAGCAGCAGCTGCTACAGCAACCTCACAGCAGCCCTCTACTTAGTTATTTTTTCTAGTTTTAGAACTCTCAGCTTTAGAATTCAGGTTTCCACGTTTTCAAAAGTCTTGATGAATTCATTGTTTATTAAACTAAAGGTCGACATATTGGTCAACCTCTAATTCAAAAGAGCTATTTACATCAGTTAAGACGTTAGAGTTTGAGGAATGCTGTGGGAAAAACAACAACACCTAGAAGCATAGAAACATGTTCAAGGTTCACACCTAAATCAGAAAGGAAAATCAACAAGTCACARAATATTCACACAGTGATAAAATGTTTCTACGTGTCTCTCATAGAAATGCATTTAAGCGACTATAGCACAAAAAGTAAGGAAATTAGTGTTTGGTAGATTATGTCTTTGTTGTAACAATGCTTCTTGGTAATAAATCTTGTAGCGGGCACCTGATTGGCAGCACCTGGGGTTAGCAGAAGCTCAGAACAAGTGTCAATAGTAACAGTAAAAATGTTTAGCAGAGATGATTTGGCAAATTTTTCATCTTTGCAACTCACGCAGCTCTACTGATCATTCCACARATGCATGTTCCTTACAAATGTGACACCATTTAAAAGGGAAACTAACCTGCTTTCTAATTGTATAAGATTTATTACCAAGAAGCATTGTTACAACAAAGACATAATCTGCCAAACACATATTTCTTTACTTTTTATGCTAAATATGTGGTATTGTGGTGTTAAAATGGGCATTTCTTGTTAAATTAAAAGCAGACACATTGGTCACAAGAATGGTTGATCTTGGTAACAACTGTTTTAGCAGACTGATCTTCAACTTCAAGGGAGGACACGGAGCCTGGTTTCCCATAACAAATGTGTTCCCACTGGTTTTAGTTTTGTCTTCACTGTTCTCAGACTCAAACCTTCCAGTTGTGGCAGAAATGCTTGGAACTCTCTCACTTTGTTTAGACTTTAATTTGTGACTTTATTATAATGACCCTCTACCTGAACACAACACACTGATTTGTTCTGTTCCCCTAAAATAAAAAAAATTAAAAAATCCTCATGTTCAGGAGTGAAATCAGACTCCCATAGCAGTTATACATCACCGGCTGCTTTCAGTGGCAGCCCAACCGTTCAATATGAAATTCCCATGACTGGTTTGTGGAATGTGTGTATGTGTGTGTGCTGGTATGTAGTTTCTTGAGACGCAGCAGCAGTACAATGAATGTTTTAGTTCAAGAACTGCTTCAGTGGGTTGTCACCTGAAGGTTACAGTGTGTTGACACAAGCGCAGATGGAAAGAAACAGATACAGTAAAGTATGTTCAGATGAACTTGGCGATAGGAGCAGTTTTTTTTATTGCACAACATTTTTGACAGATAGCGGCTGAACGCAAACATGAACTCTGACAGAATTTCAGTTTGTTGAAACTTGACGATGGAGGGGGGGCTTCCCTTTTCTGTTCTCGGGAAAGTACACAAAGTATCAAATAAAGAAGTTCCTTGAAAGAAAATTTCCAAGCCCTGGAGTTTTGAGTACTTTCTTTTTTCAGGCTGACTTACAAGAATGACCAAATTTCTATCAACAGACTGGACCTTTCTTCTCTATGATTTTACTTTTGGTTCCAAAAAACAAAACAAAACAAAAAACCTGCACTGAAGCATCAAAAAAGGATTTTGAGGCAGATCTTTTAAAACCTTTTAATATTTAAAATGTTAAGTTACAAATTTAGTTTGTGCAATACACCACAAACCATTACCAACAAATAAAATGATTTTACAATTACTTCCAATATCCTAATACTTGTTTTGACATTAACTTAAAATGTTGCAACATGTTTCCTCAATTGGAGGAAGATTTTATAAATTGTAGACCSGTTGGTGACAGTGTCCAGTGTAAGTGCAGGAGGCTCAAAGATTATGAAGAAGTTCTGGTGTAAACAATCATCAGCATCCACTCCTCCTGCACAAGACTCTGTGTTGTCCCAACATGGAGGAGGACTCTGTGGAGGAGCTGCATGCTCAGACTCCACCGTTTGAGTCGGAACGTCCTGATCCGACTGCTCTTCTGCAAACTGAATCAGCTCGGTGGCAGAGACACGGAGCGCTGCTTTACTACGTAAAGTATGTAAAGATCTACTGTATTTGTGGCGACTGTATTAACTTCCACTGCAGCAGAGGTCGATAACACTGGCTGATGAAGCGTTGTCCTGATGCAAGTGGACGCCGCTTCTCATCCTTTTATTGTTCTTCTCTTCTTACTCCTGTTCCTAGTTTCCCCTCTGCATCGTAGAGTAACCTGAGATGTTCCTGTGTGCAATCACAAACTGGACAGGACGTATGAGAAAGTACATGTGGGCAGTTGTTTTTATTCCAGTGGGTGTGAGA